TATTTGTCAGGGTGTTTGGAGAACTTTTCTAAAATTACTTTTAATTAGTCTTATATCCCAGGGTGAGAAGAGGATCTGGGGTAAAGTATGACCAGATCCTATATCTACCTCAGGGCAGGCTAAGGTCTGCTCAGGCCTGGGCGAGGATGTGGCCTCCACCTGTTCCTCTGGTGGATCCTGAGTTGTTATTGCCAGGAGCAAGGGATTGACTTTACAGATCCTGCCTGTCTTTGGCTTGTCCTCTGGAGTAAAGGAAGTCTGGGCATATGGGACTGATAACCATTTTTCTTCCTTCCTGTAGAAAAGATCCAATTGTAGAACGGAGTTATACTTGAGGCTTCCTTCTGAGCGCAACTCCCCTTGTATTGAGGCCAAACCCAAGGGGGGGGGGGGGGGGGGAAGCAGGCACTATTTTGTTGTTGTTTAGGTTTGTGGGTCAGAATTATTCCAATTTTTTAAAAAGATATATATATATTTCATTGATTTTTTTACAGAGAAGAAGGGAAAGAGATAGAGAGTTAGAAACATCGATGACAGAAAAACATTGATCAGCTGCCTCCTGCACACTCCCTACTGGGGATGTGCCTGCAACCAAGGTACATGCCCTTGACTTGAATCAAACCCAGGATCTTTTGGTCTGCAGGCTGACTCTCTATCCACTGAGCCAAACCGGTTTTGGTTATTCCAATTTTTATGTAGTGTGGCTGATGCACTATGCACCTGAAAGGAAAAAAAATGCACAAGGATGTCTCCTTTTCCCCTTGTCCTTCACCCTGTATCCACTGTGACTATCCTGGGCAGTGGGGCGTCCCCTCACCTGGCCAAAGCTGGAGGGAGTCCACACTTTCACACGAGGAGTGAGGGTTACCTTGCCCACGTATGGTCATAAATGAGGCTGCCGGGTGGACTAACCACACTTACCACCACGGAGATGACCCGAGTTCACGCAGAAGCCGCCTCTGGCCTCCCTAACCTGTGGGGGAGGCGTGCATAACCTGTGTCTGCTCTCAGGCTCTGTGTCTGTGATTAAAAGTGCCTGAGGCACCCATTAGTGTGTTTGAAGTACTCACTGAACTGGCTGGTGAAGAACCTACTGAACTTAATTCCAATTCCCGAGGGGCTTGCTCTAGGATGTGGACAGAAGAGAGTTCACACAGCACCTGGAACTCTGGTTCGGCCAGTGTCCAGGGAGCCGAGGAGAGTACAAACAGCCCTGTTCCCACCCCTTGTATGCCCTTGGCGTGAAGGGTTCATTCTCACCTCCCAATCCCTGAGAAACCACTTTACAATTCTAGGACACTTATGTAATACCTTAATCAATAAAGAAAAGAAAAAAATATATATATACACACACCCACACACACACACATATCTATATCTATATCTATATCTATATCTATATCTATATCTATATCTATATCGAGAGAGAGAGAGAGAGAGAGAGAGAAAATATGCAAATTATCCAGGATGCCATATTGTCATGACCACTCAGGAGGGCTGAGAGTCCAGGTGGGCAGAAGGAGGCTGTGTTTGAGGTGAGGCAAGCCACAGATGCCACAGCGGCTTGAGCAGGCCCAGAGCGAAGACAGGCTGGGGGGCCTGCCAGCCACCATGCACCAGCAGTCCCACCTCTGTGTGTGAGCTGCAGAAGAAACACCTTTCCTGACCACTCACTGGCTAAGCTCCTGGTATCCCATTCACAGTGTTCTTGGTAACTCAGGTAATAAGAATCCAAGAAGGTGATCCAGGGTTTTCCCACCTCACTCCTGGAGGAAAAAACGAAGGTCCACTGCTGAAGGTGCTAAGAAATGTCATATCTTGCCCTAGCCAGTTTTGCTCAGTGGATAGAGCCTTGGCCTGTGAACTGCAGGGTCTGGGTTCGATTCTGACCAAGGGCATGTACCTAGGCTGCAGGCTCCTCCCTGGCCTGGGCCCACGTCAGGGCTCATGCAGGAGGCAACCAATCAAAGTGTCCCTCTCACATTGATGTTTCTCTCTGTCTTTCCCTCTCTCTTCCATGCTCTCTAAAACTAAAAAAAAAAATAAAAAAAAAATATTTACGTAATAAAGTATTATGTAATTTATTTATTCAAACTTGACTCCCTAGAGCACTAATCATTGGCCAAAATACACTTATAGGGAGTATTTATTTCTCAGCAGCACACATTTCCCTGTCATCCGTGCAGTTATCTCAGAGGTGGATTTTGCTTCATCAGTTGACGTGCAACAGTGAGTAGTGAAAACGTAGACATAGAGCCTCTTTCAAGTCTTACCCTCTCTTCAGCATACAATGACTTTATTTCTTTCTCCTCAAATTTCTGTTTTTCTTCCTTTTGTTTTGGACTCGGGGCAAGAATAAGGAAAACACATGACATTTTTTTCTTTGTACAAATACTTTCTCCCATATTCATTAAGGAGATACAAACAATACATGACTCACCAGTCCCAAGATCCTATATAAAAATGCATCTCACACTCTACTCTTTCCTCCTGGTTTCTGTGACAAAACAGCTTGTTCTCTCTTAAGACTGTGCAAGACATACTAAATGTAATAAGTAGTTAAAAGGAGTGATTTTAGAATGTTTTTGTGAACTGCCTGACACTCTCTCCTCTTTTCTCTGAATTAAGAATTCCTGCAATTGGTGCTTTCTGTTGTGTGTATCCATGTCATAGAGTATAAATTCTTCCTCACCACACTCCAGTGGTTAAGTTATCCATGTTTTTGTTTTTGTTTTTTCTGGAAAATTCCATAACAGCACAGTCAGAACAGCACTCCATCTATCTCTTGAAAGCATTCTTTGTGATTTATCAGCCAGTCTCCTCAGTCTTCCCTTCTCAGTAGTTGAGGTTGCCTGGACTTCACCTTGAGTCAGGAAAGCTCTAGTAACTTAGTATGGACTTAATAAGACCTTTTCATTGGAGATCAAATATCGCACAAAGCCTTCTCTGGAGGTTGGGATAAACATTCATTTGAAACAGTATTTTGGTTCCCCCAACTCCTATTTTTTTTTTGAAGTATGATCCGAAGGATTAAAACCTATATTTCTAGAAACTATAATCCTACCAGTCTGTTAAAAGGCTTAGAATATGAACATTTACCAAAACCCAGGTAATTCTAATGCAAGTGATGTTTCTACTCTTACTCAGCAAAATTCTAACCTCTGACCTTCCTCTATCAGTCAGATGATTTAGATTGTAAAAGAATTAAATGTTGTTTTTTGCCATGCAATTTAAACAAAGCCATATTTACAACTATAACAAATTCATTTTCAAGGTGTATACAGAATTTCTTTTAAAAGTACACAGCTAACATATGTGTTGGCTCTACACCTAGTGTTATTAGTACTTCTGGGATTTCCTCATCTATTTAACATTCAAGAGTAGATTTCTCACCCAGTTGGGTGGCTCAGTGTTTGAGCGTCAATCTATGAACCAGGGATCAGTTTGATTACTGGTCAGGGAACATGCCTGGATAGTGGGCTCAATTCCCAGAAGGGGGAGAGCAGAAGGCAGCTGATCAATGATTCTCTTCATCATTGATGTTTCTTTCTCTCTTACTTCTAATTTCTCTTTGAAATCAATCTATATATTGGAGTTAATAAACAAATGCCTAGCTGGCCTAATTTTTGAACATGTAATTCTTTAGACTGTGTGCCATATATATATATATATATATATATATATATATATATATATATATATAGACTTTCTTATATTTAGATTTATTTAGGATATCTGATAAAAGTTCAATTGGAAAATGTAATAAAAGCCATACAATATCTTGCAACTATATGAGGGTGACATTTCCAACGTAAAACAGTTGGTGTTACTCACACAGAGTAAATTCCACAATTTATTTGAAATGGCAGACAGATCCCAAAGCCTCAGAAGCTTCTTTCAGGGGCAACAGATTATTTCTGTTCAAAAAAAGCACATTATTTTGGAGATTTTCTTATTTCTATAATAATAAAAATATGAAATACTAAGAAATTGTATTAGTAAAGTGATTGAAGGCATGGGCTTTGTGGTCAAACAGTCTGACATCAAATCCTGCCAGGTCTGCCAGGTGGGCAAACTTAGACCTCCTTTTCCTTATTTTCCTAGGTTCTATGTTTGGAATCATGATAATACCTCCCTCCTGGGGTTTTAGGAAAAGCTGTTTATCCTTTTAGTATCATAGTTTCTTCCTCTTTAAAATAGTGATAAAACCTCTAGGAATGTTTGGTTGCTGTTAAGAGTAAATTTTTATATATGCACTAGAGCAGTGATCGGCAAACTGTGGCTCTCGAGCCGCATGCAGCTCTTTGGCCCCTTGAGTGTGTCTTTTCCACAAAAACCACAGCCTTGGCAAGTCTATTTTGAAGCAGTGACGTTAGAAGAAGTTTAAGTTTTAAAAATGTGGCTCTCAAAAGAAATTACAATCGTACTGTTGATATTTGGCTCTGTTGACTAATAATTTTGCCAACCACTGCACTAGAGGCCTGGTGCACAGATTGGTGCACTGAGAGAGGGGGGTAGAGGGTCCTCAGCCTGGCCTTCACCCTCTCCTCTCCCAGTCTGGGACTCTTCAGGGATCTCTGCCTGCCAGGGCGATCAGGCCTAAGGTGGCAGGCAGACATCCCTCTCGCAGGGGCTCTCACAGTCTAGGACCCCTCACTCCGCACCACCCACCTGTGGTGGAGGCAGGAGAGGCTCCTGCCATCGCTGCTGCACTCACCAGCGTTGAACCCACTTTTTGCTGAGCAGAGCTCTCCCAGTGGGAGACCCTGACCCCCAGGGAGCAGCTCCTGCATGAGCATCTGCCCCTTTGTGGTCATTTCGCATCATAGTGACCTGTGCTTTTGTAGTTCAGTTTATGTGCATATTAGGGTGTTATCATATAGGGGTGAGACACATGACATTTAAGTGGTGCTTGGCATATATTGAACACTCAGCAAGTGTTAGTAATTACTATAAAATACTAAGAGATTGAAAAGAATTTTATTTGTTTTTACTTGTAGGTGAATAAGTATGGAGAAAGACACATATTTGCTGAACTATAAAGGCTATAATTTTGAATCTCCCTTAGTTGATGTTGACATCCTAGAAAATCTAGATGATTTTGAAATTAGAGATGATGATGTCTTCCTAATTACATATCCAAAATCTGGTAAGTTTGAGGAGTGGACTCCCTGTTACCAGTTTTCACTCTGGTTTGGTAATACGTGTGTACAAATGGGTCCTTTTCCAGACGTTAACATAGGGGTGTCGAACTCAATCAGAGAAGGGGCCAAAATCTAAAATCCAGCCTAAATCGCGGGCCAAATGGTTTACTGAACAGTCATAAACTGTCATTGTGATGGAAACGCAGCAGAGTGCAGTGATGACAGCGCGGTGCGGGCCACATTGCAAGGCCTGGTGGGACGGATTTGGCCCGCGGGCCTTGTGTTTGACACATGTGCATTAACAGTAGCCCAGCCTACATTTAGAGCACCACTTACTATTTTTAATAAAGTTAAATAAACCTCAAAATGTTCATATATAAGATCTCTTAAAATGCATATATCGTCATTTTTTAAAGCACCTATGAAGAAACCAAATACTGAGCCAATGCAGATACTAGGTCAATGCTGACCTGATGGCTTTCTCTGATAATGGAAGAAAATATATTTAAAAACAACAACAACACAGCAGGATTTTGGTTAGTGGCATCTCTCAGTCAGAACTAATTCCTAACATGCTTTTCAATTACTCTAATTTTTTTTATTTCCCTATCATAATTAAATAATTTTAAACTAAAATAAGTTGTCCGAAAATCTTACATTCCCCTTAAAAGCTAATTTAAAATATATATATATAAAGTTAAATAAATATATTATTGATTTTGTACAGAGAGGAAGGGAGAGAGATAGAAAGCTAGAAACACCGATGAGAGAGAGTCATCGATCAGCTGCCTCTTGCACACCCCCTACTGGGGATATGCCCACAACCAACGTACATGCCCTTGACAGGAATCGAACCCCGGTCCTGTCAGTCCCCAAGCCGATGCTCTATCCACTGAGCCAAACCGGTCTCGGCAAAAGCTAATTTTTTATATGTGTTTCTTAGAACACAGGGTGATTGGTGTTCTTGAATCAATGTTGTACAAAGTGGTTAATATTGCCCAAAAATACATTGGAGTCAAAAATCAATACAAAAACAATCATTCCTGATTTTCATGAAAATGCTCCAGTCACTCTCTTTTGCCACTGATTGAAATTCAAAACTCTGTTTACTTTCCCCAAATTAGTAACACAATGCCTTTTCCCTGGATTTTTCTACTCTGCAGAATGTGTCGGCACATTTGATATCAGATGTTTTTTTTATTTTCCTCCCTTAGCTGTTGGTGTTCCTCAGTTTGCTTAGTTTTAGGTTAAGCAGCCCATAAGAATTTTCCTTTGCCCTTAACCCAGCCTAAGTATTTGGTACAGCACACACCAGCCCTTAGTCCAACCTGCTGGGGTCTTACTCATCTTACAGGGGAGGTGAATGATTCACCATAAATTTAATCAAACCTACTGTATCTATTAAATCTACTCAATTGAGTAGCAATGATTGGAAGATTATTGACACCTCACATTCTTTTAGAACATTGATGATATATTCATGAACATATGTGCAAAACTCCTAAACCAAATAAACATAAGCAAAACAAATATAGCAATGTAAAAAAAGAAAAAAGAAAAGAAAGAAACCACTGTGACCAAGGTGGCTTTATTTCAATGTGGTTAAAAAATATATTAATGCAGTTCAGCCACATTACTAGAATATAGAAGAAAGCCTGAATTATCATCTCAACAGGTGCAGAACAAGCATTTAATAAATTCAGTGTACATTCCTAAGGCAGACTATTAGCAAACTAGGGAGAAAGCGAACTACTTTAACCCCATGAATAGAATCTACCAAAAACTACCACAGACATCAAATGCAATAGTGAGGCATTGAAAATCAGGTATGAGACAAGAATGCCTATCAGTACTTTCACTTAGCACTGTATTGGGAGACCTACTATACAACGTTAACAAGAAAAGTTGAAATGTGTCTTGAGCTCTCAAATTGTCTATATTTTCAAAAGGTAAAGCTTTAAGCAAGACTAAGGAAGGAGGAACAGAGAGAGCCACAGAAAATCACATGAGCAGAACACACATGAATTACAGGGAACAACCAAGTTGAAGGATTGAACTAATCACTAAGGTCACAACTCTTTTTCAGTAAAAAGGAAACTTAGAACACCTAATTTTATCTTTACTAGTTTTAATGTAAAATACATAGAAAAAAAGTTGAACATATTTCCTTGGCATATTTAGAGTGGTTAAAAAGAAAGAAAAAGCTCTAAATAGTTTTTCAATAGATGGCATAATTATTGGCATTGTTAATAAAAAATTAATTCAGTGTCAAAAATGAAGTTATTTATTTTTACAGGAACCATCTGGACTCAGCAGATACTAAGCTTGATTTATTTTGAGGGACATCGTAATAGAACTGATGACTTGGCAACGATTGATAGAGTCCCCTTCTTGGAATACAATATACGCAAAATCGACTTTCTCAAGAGACCATCTCCTCGTTTCTTCTCTTCCCACCTCCCGTATTATTTAGTACCCAAAGGTCTCAAGCGCAAGAAAGCTAAAGTAAGTCATATAATATTTGATGCTGTTTGACACCTTAAATAATGTGGAATTATAAGTATATACATAAATTGGGTCATCCCACACATTGCGTGTAGTGTATTTATAGCATTCAGCAACATTTCTTTGATGACAGCACATGAAATTCTATTCTTTTTAATAGTTTAGTAGAGTTCATTGTATGGCTCTGCAATGTTTAGTGTATTGATGGACAGGTAAGTTGCAGCAAATGTATATATTATATCGCAATATACATTCTTTTTTTTGAATCCTCACCTGAGGATATTTTCTATTGATTTTTAGGGAGAGTGGAAGGGAGAGGGAAGACAGAGAAAATAACAATGTGAGAAAAATGCATTGATTGGTTGCCTCCTGCATGGGCCCCCACCAAGGTCCAGGCCAGGATGAGCTTGCAGCCTAGGTACCTGCCCTTGACCAGAATGGAACCTGGGACCCTTTGGTCCACACTCCCATGATCTATCCACTGAGCCAATCCCGCTATGGCCAAACATTTTAGTTTATATGTAAATTATAAAATGATATCTCAAACTAATCTGAGTATGCATTTTCCTAGTCAACAATGAGATTAAGCACTTTTTGATATGTTTATTGGTTGGTCAGCCTCTGGTTGTTACTGGTCAATTATTTGTTTCAACATCACTTGTTAAGTAGGTTTTCCTTTTTTAGCTTAGATTTTTATCAAATGTCACTTAACACTTACAGATGGTACAATGCAACAGTTCCTTAATATATATATATATATATATATATTTTTTTTTTTTTTTTTTTACAGAGAGAAAGGGAGAGGCACAGTTAGAAACCGATCAGCTGCCTCCTGCACAACCCCTACTGGGGATGTGCCTGCAACCAAGGTACATGACTTTGACCGGAATCAAACCCGGGACCCTTCAGTCTGCAGGCTGATGCTCTCTACACTGAGCCAAACTACTTAGGGCTGAAATAGTTTCCATGCAGAGTAATTTGTAATATTAACCAACCTTACAAGTAAATAATTTTACTTTTAGAAATTATTCCTATATGCTTGCGCATATGAAATATTATGTGAGTAAAGTTGATTACTTCAACAGGCTTTGTAATAGCAAAAAAAAAAAAAAATGAATATAACCTAAATTTCCATGGGTAGTAGGCTGGATGAAAAAAAAATTATTATGCATTCATATAGTAACATATGTAGGTGTGAAAAAAACAACAACAAAAATAACAGCAACCTCTAAGGACAACCAAGAATTGTTAAAATTGTTTTATTATCCCCCCTGCAGATTGTTTACGTTTACAGAAACCCCAAGGATGTTATGACTTCATACTTCCATTTCTCAAATATCCTGGTCACACTTGAAGCTGGTAATAATATGGAACACTTCATGGAAAGGTTTCTAGATGGAAAAGGTAACTATGAATTTATGCATTCAACTTCTTCATGACACCATGTTGCCAATAGCCAAATTCTCCAATATGGGGGACATATTTGAAGGAAATAAAGAAGAGTAATGATGGAAGCTGGATGCACACAAGTGGCTACTACTCTGGTAACTTAATTTGCCACCCAATGGCTTTTCTGTTCTCATCAGCACCACTTTGGGAACTGTTATGGTTGCAAAGGCATATTGTTTGAGAAATACTTTAACCAGATCATAAAAGAACCACAATGGTTACCAGTTCAAAGTGGATGCAGTGTTTGTGTTCTGTCATGGACCTGTGGTAGGCCTTATATGGCAGCGGTGGAATATTCATTTCAACACTGAGGAGGATAGATTGATGTCAGAGGCTTGTGGGATGTGGAATTGGGGCTCGCACTTAATAGAAGATTAGATTCAGGTTCTGTCCTATAGATATCTGAAGTTGCTACCCAGAGATCTTAAAAATAGATAATAAAAAGAGAAATAAAGAACATTTTTTTCAGATGGGAGAAGTAAGAAAGTAAGGAGCTCACCCTAAATCTTCACAATCAGTTGTTTGGGCTTCTTATTTTCTTCACTGCTGCTTTTCCTACAGACATAGGAAAGGCAGGCTTCCACTGAAATCAGGTGATTGTTTCCCAAAGCACCATTTTACCAGGTAACACAGATGTCTAGTGCTGGGGGCTTTCCTTTCCTTCCGGAGGATGCCAGAACAGAAAAGAAAGATTCTATTTGCTGTTTGGGAAGTGCACCATTGTCACTGACTGATTTTCCCCCAGTGGTCGGAAGCCGTTGGTTTGATCACGTCAGAGGCTGGTATGAGCACAGACATGACTTCAATATTCTGTTCATGATGTTTGAGGAAATGAAAAAGGTAAGAGGCAAAGGTTATTTTTAACAATTATTTCTTTGAACCCCTTTTAATTTTGGTTTTAATGAAACACATTTTCCTAGTTTTCTTGGGACTTACCTATTTCTCATGCTTTTTCAGGGATTTCTAACTGCCTGCCCCTCCCTTAATTATTGGCTTCCTTAGGGCTCTCCTCTCACTGTACACAGTCATCTCCTGTGGTTCCTTTCCATGCCCCCATCTGTGTCAATATGGCAAACTCACAAGACTAGTGATTGAAAAAAGAGCAAAGGCACTTTGAAATGCTGGGGCCAGCCCTGGCCAGTGTGACTAGTTGGTTAGGTGTCTTCCTGTGTACTGAAGGGTTGATTATTCTATTCCCAGGCAGGAATATAGCAAATGATAGGATTAGTATCTTTAGAATGTAATTCCCTCTAAAGAGTTTAAAAGTGATAATAATGGAGGGGGGGGCAATGGTAAGATATGTACACAGATAAGAATTTAATTTTAAAAATTAAAAAAATAAAATAAAAGTGATAATAATAAAAACAGGCAAACTAGTTAGAGACCAATTTGCTAAACCACTGTTCATTGTTAGTGTAAATAAATGCAAATGATTTGGGGAATGCTGGTTTTGTATCCTACCTACAACTTCACTGAGTTTGATTAATAGTTCCAACACGGATTTTTTTTTTTTTTTTTTTTTTTTTTTTTTGTAGATCTTTAGTGTTTTCTATGTATTGGGTCGGCAACTAAGTACTTGCGGAATTTTTAAAGAAAATCAAAGACAATTTTTTCATGGAACTAAATAACTTTATTCTGTAATGTATTGCCCATTTTGATCAATGACCTTTTACCATCTTTCAGGCAGCATCGTAATTCCACGTTCAAAAAACTTCTGGTTTTTATTAGCAAAAAACTGAATCAGGTACGATTTGACATCATCATCATTATTGAAATTTTTACCATTCAAGGAGTTTTGTAAAGATCGAAACAAAAAGTAATCAGATGGTGCAAGGTCAGGACTATATGGTGGATGTGGCAAAACATCCCAACCAAGCTCCATTCATTTTTGCCGAGTGACCAAAGATGTGTGTGGCCTTGCATTGTCATGATGGAATACAACACCTTTTCGATTTGTCAATTCGGGCCGCTTTTCTTCAACTGCATTGTTTAATTTCGTTAGTTGTTCAATGTAGACATCAGAATTGATCGTTCGGTTGGGTGGTAAGTGTTCAAAGTAGACAATTCCTTTGTAATCCCACCAAACTGATAACAAAACCTTCTTTTGATGAATATCAGCTTTTGATGTTGTTTGAGTTGGTTCACCTGGCCTGCTCCACGATCTTTTCCGCTTGATATTGTTGTAAACAACCCATTTTTCATAGCCAGTTATCAGTCGTTTTAAAAATGGATCATTTTCATTACGTTTCTTTAGCAAATCGCAGCTGCTAATGCGTTGCGTTAACTGTGATTCTTTCAGTTCGTGAGGAACCCATGTATTGAGTTTTTGAACATAGCCAAGTCGTTTTAAGTGATTTTCAATGCATGTATGTGATACATGAAGCTTCTCTGCAATCTCACGTGTTGTACTGTGACAGTCGAATTGATTATTGCTTTGATTAGGGCGTCATCAACTTCAACTGGACGACCAGAGCGTTTTTCATCTTTGCGTGAAAAATCACCAGAACGAAATTTGGCAAACCAATTTTGACACTGCCGTTCTTTTAAGGCTTCGTCACCATAAACAGCACATAACTTTTTATGAGCTTGCGATGCGTTTTTCCCTTGTGGAAATAAAAAAGCAAAATATGACGAAAATGTTCCTTTTGATTTTCCATTTTTCAACGAACGCCAAACGAAAACTACAAAACAGATCAAAAAACTTTTTTCACTGATTAACAGCTGAATAGCCAACTACCAAATAACAAAATGTGTTTTACATTTGTACTACGTCTGCAAACCTAAAAATTCAACTGAAGCCATATGTGTGTGAAACCCGCAATTACTTAGCTGCCGACCCAATATATAATAATGTCATATGTGAACATATAATTTTATATCTTTCTTTAAATTTGGATGCCTTTTTCTTGTCTGTTTACTCTGGCTAGGACTTCCAGTAGTAGGCTGAATATAAATGGTGAGAACTGTCATCCTTGCCTTGCTCCTTATCTTTTGTTGTTGTTGTAGTTGTTAGTCCTCACTGGAAGATATTTTTCCATTGGCTTTTAGGGAGAGTGAAAGACAGAGAAAGGAAAAGACAGAGAGAAATACTGATGTAAGAAATATTGATTGGTTATCTACTGCATGTCCCCAGACTAGGGCCGGGGTCGGGGAGGGTCCTGTAATCATGGTACATGCCCTTGACTGGAATCAAACCTGGACCTTTCAGTCTGTATGTAGGCTGAGGCTCTATCCACTGAGCCAAACCAACTAGGGCTGTTCATCTTTGCATTCCAGGAGTAAATCACACTTGTTCGTAGTGGATAGTCCTTTTAATACATTACTGAATTTGTTTTGCTAGTAATTTGTTGTGGGTTTTTGTATTGGTTTTTATTTTTATTTTCTTGTAGTGTTCTCATTTGGCTTTGGTATCAGGGTGATGCTGATCTTATAGAATGAGTTTGGGAGTATTTCCTCCTCTTTGATTTTTGTTTGAAGAGCTTGAGGATTGGTGTTAATTCTTCTTTAATTTGTGTTTGGTAGAAATAACCAGTGAAACCACCAAACTTGGACTTTCTTTTTTTGTAGCCATTGTATTTCATTCCTTGCTTTACTCTTTCTCTCATGAAACTGTAAACTCTTAATAAGCACGAATAAGCATATCATTATTCCCTTAAACTTCTCCAGCACTTATCACAGTTTCTGAAACACAAGATTCCTAAAAGTGCTAGTTGAATGAGTGAATGGGTGAATGAAGGTGAGCTGTCCTTATAAAATCACACAGTAGAAAGCTCTAACAAAGCTGACAACCAGAGCACTCATTTTCATAGAAGGAATAGGAAAGTCAAACTTTAGACTTACAGTAAGTCCAATCATCTTCAGTTTTCCAAAATGTGATCAAAATGTTGGGATGCAACTCATGCATTCTTTGTAAGCTGAATAGTTTCTCATACCCACAATTCTTTCAGGATCTCAGAAGTTCTGTGCTTAAAATCAGCCGTTTTCTTGAGAAAGAACTGAGTGAAGCGGATGTGGAAGCTATTGTGAAACAGGCTACATTTCAGAACATGAAGTCTGATCCAAAAGCAAATTATGAAGATATTATAAAACATGAAATTGGGAGAAGAACAGATGAGGGACGTTTTCTGCGCAAAGGTGATGCTCAAGGGGTTTTAGAAGCAAGTGTTGAGAGTTCCGTGATTGGTTGGGCCCTACACTAATTAAGGGGTGTTTACCGATCTTTCTAAGTACTGCCATTGGGACCTGGAGAGGATCAAAGACCTTAACTGCAAATGGCCCCGAAAAGTATCCCAGGACACTAACAATTTTGTAGTACATAGTCTAACACTCGAACCTAATTAATCAATATTACATTCCTTTCTTTTAGTCTCCATGTCCCTACTCTTTAAAATTGGTTAGCAAGTCTTACCTGAAGATGATGTATAAATGAGACCAGAACAGCTCCAATTATTGGTTTCCTTTATTTCTCTTAGAACATTCTAGAAGTAAACCCAACAGGTATTTTGTTGTGGGAATGGGAATTTGAGTTAATAGTTATTTCCTCATGTATCAGATTTCTTCAGTGTAAAAAATAGTTTAATACTTCATGAAACCAATATGCTATGAATTCAAGTATTCAATAACAGCATGCAATTAACTTTTAAAAAATATATTTTTTTGATTTTTTACAGAGAGTAAGGGAGAGAGATAGAGAGTTAGAAACATCAATGAGAGAGAAACATCGATCAGCTGCCTCCTGCATATCTCCCACTGAGGATGTAGCCTTGACCAGAATCGAACCTGGGACTTTTCAGTCCACAGGCCAATGCTCTATCCACTGAGCCAAACTGGTTTTGGCTGCAATTAATTTTTATTGTGCTTCTATGACATGTCAGGAATTAAGAATCAATATGTCTTCCCCCTGGTACTTCTTAATTTCAATTAGAATTTTTTTGATCTCTTAATGTACATTTTTCTAGAACATGATTTGTACTTTTTTAATTCATATTTTATCCACTAATTTATCCATAACTTAGCATTTTGATGATGGATATTTATTCTTAATTAATGAAGATCTTGAAATTGCTCTTGATGTTGCTATTTTTTTAAAAGTGTTTCTTTTTTGTTTCATTTATTTTAAGCTTTTAAGTCTCATTGCTTAACTAGGTCGAATACAAAGTAATTCTCATGCCCATAAATAGCTTGCTAACTGTTCCAAATGCCAATAATAATGTTGAAATAAGAAAATTTGATAGTGGAAAATGTCCAATAATCTTCATTAAAAAATTGGCTTAATGACAGTTTCTAACTTCCATCAAGTAAAGCTGAAGCAATGACAGCTCTGAACACCCTCTGTGACCTTGATTTCATTACTTGAAAATCTTTGGGTTTCTTTTTTTTTTATTTTAAAGTATATTTTTATTGATTTCAGAGAAGAAAGGAGATGGAGGGAGAGATAGAAACATCAATGATGAGAGAGAATCATTGCTTGGTTTCCTTCTGCACATCTCACACTGGGGAGTCAGCCCACATATGACCTGACCAGGAATCAAACTGTGACCTCTTGGTTTATATGTGGACACTCAACCACTGAGCCCTGCTGGTCGGGCCCTCTTTTCAATTTTATTTATTTTATCTTTAGCTTTTTATTTCTTTATTTTTACTTTTTAAATTATAGTAAATATAAGATTATTTTATATTAGTTTCAGCTATGTAGCATAGCAGTTAGACATTTATATAATTTATGAAGTGATCCCCCAATAATTAGAGTACCCACCTGGCACCATCCATAGTTGTTACAACATTATTGACCATATTCCCTATATTGTATTTTATATCCCATGAGTATTTTGTAATTACAGCTTATACTTCTTAATCCCTTCAGTTTTTTCAATTTTAAAAATGAAATGCTGATATTGTGGAGTTGTGTTATGAATTATATTAGATGACAGTTATAGTTTGTCAAGTATGGTGCCCGGCATTTATTTTTTATTTATTTTTAGATATATATTGTCTCTTTATTTTATTCTTTCCCCATCCACAATTATCTCCCCTATCCCATCTTTCACTTCTAGCCATCTCTCTCCCTCGCACAATCACCACACTGTTGTCCATGTCCAGAGTTCTTTCTGATTTTTGTTTTTTTCCCCCTCGATCTCTGCACCCCACACTCCCAATAGTTACCTCATACCAGAGTTGTCTGATTGCTGTCTAGCAATCTATTTTGCTTGTTAGTTCAGTTTGTTCATTAAATTCCACATATGAGTGAAATGATATGGTACTTGTATTTCTTTGCTGCCTGGTATTCAGTAAAATATATGAAAAATCTCTAACCTAGTCATCTATTTTACTCTTGTTATACCATCGCAATAAAGGCTATAATTGAATGGTAGTGGTTGATGACAGCATGCTAGCTGAGGAGAGTGAACTTTATAAGTGTTTTTAAGTTTGTTTCTTAGTTCATTTCTGTGTAAGGAAACATGAAGTATCAAACCCATGGAGAACGAACAGGTACTTAGTGTGGCTGGCAGCGGAGATTGAAGTGGGTGGGAAGAAACTCCTGCCCGGATAGTGCCACTTACTCACCCAGGTGCCATCGTGTGCTCATTTCTAGGTACCGTTGGAGACTGGAAACATCACTTCACAGTGGAGCAAAATGAGAGATTTGACAAAATATTCCAAAGGAACATGAAAGATTTGCCTTTGAAGTTCATCTGGGATTTAAATGAGGAGTAAAGTCATGTAAAAGAATCCCAAAAAATCTACTAACTAGAGAGGCTATTTTACAATAATATACACATTAATTTGTGCTTCTTATACAAATGTTAACTATAAAACTTTAGTAATGAAAAATGAGTAAACTGTGCTTAGATTAGTGGCCAGGAGTTTGATAAACACTTGGAAATTTCAAAAATTAAAATGATTTAGGAGATAATCTGCATTGATATCCTGTATTATAAATTGAAAAACAGGAGGCATGTCCTACAATTAAGTTTAGTATTAATGAGACATTAAAAAGTATTTTATTATTGTAATTAAATATTATTTCTTTGATTTAAAATAATTGTGAATGTTGAAATAGAGAACTCTTATGAAAGCACATGGATCTATTTAATATTTTAACAGATCACTAAAATTTCTTTTAATATATTGATTTTGAGAGAGAGACAGAGACAGAGAGAGAAACATGGATTTGTTGTTCCACTTTTTTATGCATTCATTTGTTGATTCTTGTGTGTGCCCTGATGGAGATATCACCCACAGCCTTCGCGTATCGGGAGACTTTTGAGAGATGTTAGGGAGAAGAGACTTCACATTATAAAATACTGTATTAATAAAGTAATATATAATTTAAATTTAAATACTTGTAGGGAGAATTATCTTGTTTTATTTTTACATTCTGTAGTAAAGTTATCTAAGAAACATTCAGTTTACTAAAAGCAACGGGCTCACTGCTAGGCTCTTTGTAGGTAAGAAAATTTTGAAGAAATAGTTACTTCCACAGAGAAGTTTATGTTCTAGTTTGGATAGCAAGATAATACCAAATACAAGAGAATACATTCACAACATAGAACTTGCTGGTTGAATTTAAAACACACACCTAAATTAGGTTAAATTTAATTAAGTGGCATAATGACTATAGTTAGGTGATACATTTAAAGATGAATTGTGTTCTACTAAAAAGTGTTAACCTAAAAAAAACCATTCAAACCTGTAAAGAATTTTTTGTGAGTTTATTTGAGCCAACTATCAACATTTGCCAGGAAGCAGAACCTCAACAAAGTGAGATAATGCAGGGTCATCTCTATTTTTATACATTGCAATCAATGGAGGGACAGGTGGGTTACATGAAATCCATTGGTGATAGACTAGAGAGGCAGGAGAAAGCAAAGCAGGAAAACCTCTAGGATTGTAGGAAAGGTAAAATGCTAGTCACATACTTAGGTGGATGCAGGAACAATGAACTTGATAACAATGAAGAATTTGTGGTATCTGTCCTGGTGCCCAGGCACATTAGTTGTGCCCCAAGGGGTCTAGAAAAAGGGAAGTTACAAGTTACCCAGACATTTCAAGGGTATGCTATCATAGGTTCAAAAAGACAGATGGGCTCAGTTCAGGTAAAGGTTGACCTTGTCAGTGAAGATACCGGCCTAGGATGTAATTATGCACCACAACTGCTTTCAGTTAAAGTTTAATTTCAGACCATCCTTTGTAGTGACTTTAGGTCTCTGAGTTTGCAAGACCGCCATGCAGGCCTTCCCTGAGCTTGTCAAGTCAGCATGTGCCTCTTTCATCCACAGAAGGAACAGATTAGTACGACGTAATTAGCACAGAAAAGGGAAAAATCATACATTTGTTTGGTGAAGAATCAGGAAGCAGAGGCTGTAGCTCGGCTCCAAACTCTAATAGGTGTTGAGAGAGAATATAGAGGTTTCCAATCAACCTGCCATTGAGTAGAAACCCCTTCTGCAATAGCCTGACAGAAGACCTGCTTCTGAACTAGCCCTAGTATTGCAAAGGGTACCCCCCCCACCCCCCCGAAAGGCATCCAGTTCAATGTCCAGGTGGTACAACTTGCAGGAGAGCTGTTATCTATACAACAAGCCTCAAAGTTTCTTGGAGGGCAACTGCTATAAGCAAGGCAGCTTGCATTCTTAATTCAGTAAGCATTCACAGTCTTACACAGTGCATGTCACAATGTCCATTTTATAGAAGGAATTAGTGAAATAGCAATTTTTAGGGGTGAAATAGGCGGGTTTAGGGCATTTTTAAAATTAAGGGGATCCACAAAAACACACACAGGGTTACAGAGTTGCAAAAGGTTACATTTCCATGAGACAGGGGAGTTGGAAGAGGCAGCAGTTACACTTCCATAAGACAAGGGAACTGGGAGTAGCTAAATGTCCATATTTACAAAATGAAGAAGGAGGAAGAAAGCCCAGAGGGAATAGGAGAATAGTGAGGGAGGAGGGCCTCACAGTCGAATGTGAGGTTTGACCTTTGAGCTCAGGAGTTTCTACAGTAACTCAATCAAAGAGGAATACCCACCAACCAGAGAGGATATGGAGGCACAAAAAAATAAAAATAAAAATAAAAACAAAACTAAAAATAAAAAATAACACAAAAAACCTGCAGCCTTTATAAACCATGGAAACAGGAACTAGGTGGGACTCTTTCCCCTCCCCACTGGGAGTCTGTGCTTGTTCTTCACTTCCTGCCTTTGCCATCCCATCTTCTGCCTGTGGTTTCATTCTTGGACTCGGATGGACAAAGAGCCCCAGGAAACCACCATGTCCAGGGAAACATGGCCTGTTCCAGTCCCCAAACCCCAGACCAGAAGCAGAGCCAGGATCTCACTCAGGTTTGCTTCCATTGGAGGCTGATCAGATTAGCTACAGGTGCTTCACGTTAGAGTAACAGAAGAGGATTTAGACCAGAATGATGTGATTATGAACTTTCAGAGGAAATGGAAATCCTATGAAATGGAATGAAATCTAATAAATCCAATCTAATCTATTCCATCTAAATTTAACCATCAAAAAGTCTGGGAATTAACTAGAAGCGGCCTAAGAATGTAACAAATAGGACCAATAGGATTGGTCATCAAACTAAAGGATTGCATGATAAAAGAGGGATCCCATAAAAAACAAGCTGTCTCCAGAAGCAGTGATCAGACTCTCAAACCTCAGAGGGAAGGTAGGGGAGGGTGGGTGTAAAGGGCAGAAATCAACCAAAGGACTTGTGTGCATGCATATGGGCCTAGCCAGTGGTTACAGACAACAGGGCGGTGAGGGCATACGTGGGGAGGGGTTTGGGATGGGAAGGGGGGGATGAGGACAATTACGTGATTCCATAATCAATAAATCTATAAAAAAATCATAAAAAAAGAAAGGCATTGGACAGGTCTCTAAAACAAAACAAAACAAAACAAAACAAAACAAAACAAAACAAAAACAAGCTATCTCCCATCAGGAGTTAATGAGGGGTGGGGGGGAAGGAGTAGGAGAATGAGTTGCTGAGAAAATCCCCCGCGTGGTCCCAGAGCCGTTGGGGGCCGGGTGGCGGTGTGTGTCAGCTGGGACCCAGACACCTCTGCCCGCTGTGCGGCTGCGGGCTCCCACCCGCTCTGTGGGCCATGGTGCCCGCTCGCCCCAACGTGCCTGCTGCTGGGACCCCCAGAAGCAAAGTGAAATACTCAGCGCTCCCCAGCTCTGAGGATGGGCGCGTGGACCCTCAGGAGGAAACGCCACCGGCTGAAGGTTGCTGTCCACCCCAAAGATGCCCAGGTGCTGCGGGACCGCGGTGGATGGAGTTGCAGGAAAGCCCTGCCAAGGCCCCTTACAGGGCGCTGGCCTGCTTCACGCTGCAGTTTCTGGTGGGCGCTTTCCTGGCCACCGCCGGCTGCCTGCTGCTGGCCGGCTACCTCAGCCCCGTAGGGCCCCGCCGGGCCGTGGCCGTGCTCATCGTGGGCATCCTGGTGCTGCTGCCCGGGCTCTACCACCTGCTCTTCGCTTGCAAAGCCCACCGAGGCTGCCAGGGCTACTCCTACCGGGACCTTCCCGACTGCGGGGACTAGCGGAGCTGGAATCCATGGCGAAGGATTAAGGAGTTCTCCCATTTTGCAGCTGCTGGCAGAACGATGGCCAGATTTTGTAAATACCTACCCAGAATGTTGATGAATTTATAATGAGATAAACATGAGGCCAGGGGTGCTCTATGTTTATTTTCCTGGCCCGGGCTAACACCCCTGACAGAGTTTTCCTGTGAACATGAATCTTAGTTTTATGGGAAAGTAAGAAGAAGTTGTACTGTGGGACAAAATGTTTCCTCCAACACCCTATGGAGAGCTGCAGTAGACCCAGTATGTTCTCAGTCAGTCATATACTATGTGATTGCATTTATTTAACATTCTTGAAATAAAATTGAAGAGATAGAGAACAGATTACTAGTTGCCAGAATTGCGGTTGTGATTACTATATACGGTATGTGATAAAATTTGCATTAACTACACACACACACACACACACACACACACACACACACATGAGTGCTTGTAAAACTGGTGAAGTCTGAATAAGCTCTGGGAACTGAATCAATGTCACCTTCCTGATATGGATTATGTATTGTAGTTACCCAAAATGTTACCTTGAGGAAGGGAGAGGGAGAGAGAAACATCAATGATGAGAGAGAATCATCTGTTGGCTGCCTCCTACTGAGGATTGATCCTGGAACCTAGGCATGTGCCCTGAGTGGGAATTGAACCATGAACTCCTGGTTCATAGGTCAATCAATGCTCAGCCACTGAACCACACAGGCCGGGCTAGTGCAAGGATTTTTAAGAATATTCTCAGTTCCCCTCTTTTGTCTCTTATTACATTACTGTCATCATTTAACGTCATCATAAGCTACATTCATCCAATACATTGTAATTCTAGTTTATCTTTTGTTTTTTGAAGAATTTTAAGAGTTCTAATCTGGGCAATCTGACTTCAGCAGACATAACATGCAACATCTTGCCTGTATGCACCCATGTGTATTTTGGGTAAAGGTCCACAGTTTTTATGAATTATTGAAGGGTTCTGTGCTTCTCACACTCAGTTGGGTGTGAGGGGAGATAAGTAGTATATTCTTCCATGAAGTTAGAATTTATGACCAACATGCTGCTAATTGGAAATCATATCAACGTAGTATCAAATACCAAGTGTTAATTGGTTTATTTTTTTAAATGAGATACAGTACAAATTAACATTAGAGTATTTAATTCATTGACAGTTTATAGTCAACACCAGATATGATCCAATCCTATGTACCTTCTTCATGTTGGAGTTTGAATAACATGAGTTCATAGCCATAGTCATGACCTTAAATATTGCAAAATTATGAGTTCACATTTATATTCTAAATAAGGATTATACTACCAAATGTAGCATTAAGGTTAATTTGGATTTCCATTATGACAAAACAGGTAACCCATGAACGTTCTTATTTATAGAGGGTCACCTTCTGCATTGCCTTCTCCTTGAAGGTAACATCTGCCTATTCATCTGCAGATTCCATATGAAGGGAAAGAGCAAAAGTGAGATTTCTTTGTTTTTTCTCCAAAAATTTTCCTGGGCTTGGTTGTTTGGTTCGCACGATGAGACACCTTTGCCTTCTAAGTGTTAGTCTTCGGCTCTCCTGATCTGTACACTGGAGTCTCACAGTCACCTGCCCCTCAAGATTCTCTCTCTTGCCAAAACCGGTTTGGCTCAGTGGTAGAGCGTCAGTCTGCGGACTGAAAGGTCCCAGGTTCGATTACCGTCAAGGACATGTACCTTGGTTGCGGGCACATCCCCAGTAGGGAGTGTGCAAGAGGCAGCTGGTCGATGTTTCTCTCTCATTGACGTTTCTAGCTCTCTATCACTCTCTCCTCCTCTCTGTAAAAACTCAATAATATATATATATATATTTAAAAAAAAGATTCTCTCTCTTTCTCTCTCTCTTTCCCTCTCTCTCTCTTTCTTCCTCTCTCTTCTTCCTTTCTCTCTCTTTCTCCCTCTTTCTTCTTCCTTTCTCTCTCTCTCTCTCTCTCTCTCTCTCTCTCTCTCTCTCTCTCACACACACACACACACACACACACACGCTCTGTAAAGCTCTGTAAATGCATTGTCCCTCTACTAAGGAACAACTCGCCCCTCTCTGCGCTCCTGGAATCAATCTGTCAGATTTAAAGGAAATCCTCTGCGCTGGGTCGTGCCTCCCCCTCCTCCGTGCTCAGGGCCCTGTCTCGGGTTTCCAACCGCAACTGGGTCGACTGCAGGTCGGATTGGCTGAGCGAGGAAGAGGAGCAGAGGCTCCGCCAAATCACAGATCGAGGATTTCCACCTTCCTTGATCCATTCCCCAGAATCATGGCAACAGGTGCGCTCCATTGCTTTCCCCCCCCCCCCGCGGAACCCCGCCCGGGGTTGCTATGGAGACAGGACGCTGCAACTTGCAGAGCCAGCAGGACTCAGAAATCGCTCCGCAGACCTCAGCAAAGCAACAGTACTGTGCTGACTCCTTCCACATCCGCACAATCCCTTTCAGCCAGAAGTTATTTGTTTGTTTATTTGTTTGTTTTTTTCTTGATTCCTTCTATGGAAGACTCCACTGCCCTGGAGCAAGAAGAAGAAAACCAGGAATCTGGGGAAGAAGGGAGGCCATGGGACGACAGGACAGCAGCTTCTGCCCAAGATCCTCTGCCTGGATTATCTGAATCCCCGGAGTCAGAGCGGGGGCCTGACCCTGGACCCCAGCCCGGGAGCAGCCCACCTCGGAGCCCGCCTGTGGGTGACCTCGCGGGCCCAGGTGCACCTCCGCCTCCGCCTCCTCCGGAGCCCTCCTCCCCTCCTCCGGCTCTGGCGGGACCGCACCTCGCTGCACCAGGGCAGTCAGACCAGACCTCCAGTGGGATTCCGGAAGCCGGGACACCTCGCCCTGAGCACTTGCAACAACAATCATCTGATAAAGGAGCATCAACTCCTCATCAAACGTGCCCGTCCAAGGGGAACGCCTTTCAACAGTTTCAGCAAACCCCGGGGCACCTGTGTGAGCCCAGGGGCGCGAACGGTGACACCTCTAAACAAGGCCCGAGGGCTAGCATTTTCCGGGAGGAGGACTCAGAGAGCAAACACCAGCTGGATGGGGCCGAGCCTGAGCTACCCTCTGAGCCCGAAGCGGCCCCCAGCATGCTGGAGATGGCCGTTCAGAGTGCCAAGGCTTACCTACTGAAGACCAGCAGCGCGTCAGGCTTAAATCTGTAAGTCCTGGAGGGAAAAAGAGAGATAGGTACGGCCAAGTAAAGGGGGCATGAGTATCTCTGGGTGGCAGTGTGTTTCTACGGGGAAATATATTTGAAGAGTCTGTATCAGTATGAGTTAATGGCTTCATAACTCTTTGCATCACAGGGCTCAATCAAAATAGGTCACTGGTGGGGATTCTTCTAGCTTCTTCAAAGACCCTAGCACGGAGAAACAAAACCTAGGCACTGTGGAATCCTGGGTTTGAAAGAGACCAAAGAGATAGCGAAGACCCAGCGTCTCCCCAGAAGCTTGTAGAAGTAGCTTTCTGCCGTGATCGGGAGCACCTGAGTGCTCCACGGCCGGCTTTGAGTTCTCACCAGGCCAGACCTCGGTGACCAGTTATCTGTTTTTCTGGAATTATCCTGATGTGAGCGCTAAAAGCTCTGCTTTTTAAGAAACTCCTATTCTGGGCAAACGGGGGGACTTAGTCACCATAATTTTAAGGTCAAAAGAATAAAAAGCGTTAATATTTAATGTGTGCAATCTTTCACAAAACTCAAATTGGCAGTTTAAAATGTTATGTACAAATTACTGTCTTAAACTATAATTTGCTTAAGCTTTAGGGATGTGATCTGCTGCTCAGTAGTGGATTCTACTTGAATCTCTCACATAAACTGTCATCATAATGCCCTGGGTTAAATAACAAGCAGACTTGGTTAAAAGTCCAAAAGAGCTCATTCTACTCGAGATCTCACTAACTATTTAAAACCTAATGCAAAAACGCAAAAATGGGGAAGCTTTCTTTCCTGTTTTGTTGTTGTTGTTGTTTGTTTGTTTGTTTTTATAGTGGCCATTGCTTAAGAATCTATAATAACTTTTATTTCATTTTCAAATGTTCAGTCTCTCAAGGTAATAAATGAATATCTTAATATTCATTGTTTTCTTCTAAGCACTTGAGAGCCAGTCGTTAAAAACTCCTCCCTAAAAATAAACTCCCTCTCCTGTATGCAGACCCTATTTGACCTATATTGAGATAACAACAAACAAAAACAAAGCCCTAATTTTTGACGATGTAAGAACCAAACGCAGTTGCTGAATGGGAATTCTGTCATTTACACAAACACACAGCAGCGTATCTGTGATCTCAGAAAGGCCCACCCTACACTGAGGAAGAATGGTTTTCAGGGCGACCTGAAGACAAAGTGGTTGCAAAAAATTTCTTGAAAGAAATGATACAAATGGGACACAGCAAGCAAAGGCTGTCTGGGAGGACTTAGCATTATATTGAAGTGATCTGAAGTAGATTTACCTCCCTGGGGCAGAAATTATCATTGAAGAAATTATTAGAAATGAAATAGGAGAGATAAATGCTTAAGTGTCAGAGAGAAATTTTATGCAAGTTTCCTTATTGGTCAGAGGAGTTTCTATCTAACTTGAGAGCACATTGACAGACAATTCAGGTTTAAATTCACATTGTAACTCTGGGATTTGAAAAGACACACTTTCACCATTTTGTATAAAATGTAATGAATTAATGGGAGGTTAGAGGCAGCTTCACTAATACAATTATGAAATAAAAAGCTAGGACAGTGTTTTTAATAGAAGAAAAATACTGTATTAGGTGTGTTACATTTTAATAAAGGTGAATAATATTTTATGACACTTCCCTTTCAGTTGCATTTGGGCAGGGGTTGCAATATGAAATGTATTTATAATAGGTTTACAGTACACTGAAGAAGATAATTGGCTTAGGAAATGAAACAGAAGAGAACATATCTTTTTAAGAAAGCAAATAGGATTTAAAAATCAAATTG